GTGACTAACGAAAGCGATAGATGCCACGTTTCATTCGGCAAAGCATCAAAGCATAAAAGGGTCACTGAACAACTTACTTTCAGCAGAACAGGTGGCAAGACATAGAAATGCCCCTGGAATTTCAGTAGTAAATAAATGTCTAGCTTCCACACTAAGGTACTGATGGATATTGAATTAATCCATTACCTCTGGTTGATCAGCTTCACATGCCTTCATTGTTTCCTCTCCAACAGATGCAATAGCAGCAGCCATTGAATTATCATCATCGCTTATAGTTGATTCATCCTCTTTGATCTCTTGATTGTCACACACTTGTAGCTCATGTGCCGAAACAACACCATTTCTGCCGTGATCATCATTGACAACTGTCTCCATCATTTGAACCGGGGTGTGTCCCTCCTCTGCCACTTTCTGATTCTTCGCATTACCCCAATCTTCGTAGACCACCAATGTCTTTGTGGTTTCACCTGTCTGTAGGCTTCTATTAGGCCCATTCTGCCAATGGAACTTTCCCAAGGAATCTTGGAGCAAGAACTTGAACTCAATCAACCTGTTGGCAGGTAAATCCTGTTCAAAACAGAAAAGAGATGATGAAGTTACTCAAAAGAGGCTAAATCATTAAACACTGTACATAAACGGAGTCTCACTTTCTCTACGGTCCAGTCATGGCCTTCCAACCAATCCATAGCGACCGCATTCGTCGGTTCCCAGAGGCCAAGTGCTGGGACATCACCGACCAGGTGGAAGCTTTGGCCAAAGGTGCACTGCTCTTTTAGCACAAATCTGACGCGCACTGTGCTTCCAGGAACTGTAGGTAACAGATAGACAGACAGACAGATGGTAAGACCAAAGATCCATCACATTAAAAACAGGTTATGTTAAGACCAAAGATTGCAATGTCAATGGTTCAGGGCAGCAAACTCACCAGCAGGAGCAGGTGGTGACGAAATCTCAGCAGAGGCCACTCCCCCCTGGACCTCATCAGCCTGCAACAGCAACCACCATCTAACCATCAGTCAATCACAGTGGAGCAAAGGGGGAAACACGCCACATTAGAGCGCAAGCCTATTCCGATCTTGATGTGACAAACCTCCGGCGCTAGTGCTATGCCACCCTCCTGTGTGGGCACGAGCTGCTCGAGGGGCTTCGGTAGCGCGGTGACGAGCACGCTCAGGCGGCCGGCAGTCCCAGCCAAGCCATCGCTGCCGACGCGCCGCAGCCCCTGCCCGCCGTAGGTGACCCGGACCCGGCCAAAAGCTCCGCCCCAAGGGATCGGCATGGGCGCATCTGGTTCTTTCATCTCTTGATTGTCACACACTTGTAGCTCATGTGCCGAAACAACACCATTTCTGCCGTGATCACCATCGAGAACTGCCTCCATCATTTGAACCGGGGCGTCTCCCTCCTCTGCTACTTTCTGATTCTTCGCATTACCCCAATCCTCGTAGACCACCAATGTCTTTGTGGTTTCACCTGTCTGTAGGGTTCTGTTAGGTCCATTCTGCCAGTGGAACTTCCCCAGGGAATCTTGCAGCAAGAACTTGAACTCAATCAGCCTGTTGGCAGGCAAATCCTGGCCAAAACAGAAAAGAGATGACGAATTTACACAAAAGAGGCTAAATAATGAAACATCGTGCATAACCGGGGAAAGTCTCACTTTCTCCACTGTCCAATTGTGGCCTTCAGACCAATCCAAAGCCACTGCCCTCGCCGGTTCCCACAGGCCGAGCGCCGGGTCGTCGCCGACCATCTGGAAGCTTTGGCCGAAGTTGCACCGCTCTTTTAGCACAAATCTGACACGCACTGTGCTTCCAGGAACTGGAGGCAACAGACAGACATACAGTTGGTAAGACATCATATCACCGTTTCTGTTTCGCAATGTCAATGGTTCAGGGGAGCAGGCAAACTCACCAGCACGAGCAGCGGGTGACGAAATCTCGGCAGAAGCCATGTCCCCATGCACCTCATCAGCCTGCAGCAGCAGCAACCTTAGAACCATCAGTCAATCACAGTGGACCAAAGGGTTAACACGCCACATTGGCGCGCGCGCTGATTCCCGACCTTAATGCAACTCACCTCCGGCGACAGTGCTGCGGCGCCCTCCTGCGCGGGCATGAGCCGGTGGAGGAGGGGCTCCGGGAGCGCGGCGACGAGCACCCTCAGGCGGCCCGCGGTCCCAGCGACGCCGGCGCCCGCGACGCCACGCGGCCCCCGCGCGCCGTGGGCGACCCGGACCCGCCCGAAGGCCGCAGCCCGGGGGACCGGCGAGGCGGCCGCGGCTGGCTCGAGGGATGGGGATCTCATCCCGGCCTGAACCTCGGGCCAAAGCCCTGACTGAACCCTGCGCGCGTGTGCAGCAGTGGCGGAGGGGCGCCGGGTTAGTTCACGAGGCGGGCGTGTCGGCGTGCGGTGCGCGGATCGGCAGCAGGCGGCCGGGGTTTTTGGCGGCTTCCGCCGGCGGTGGGGGGCACGAGGGGAGTGTGCGGGATGGCGACGAGGGGGGAAGGGAACGGACGGACAGGTGCGTCCGCGCCGTTGGGGGGAGGGCCCTCCCCGTTGGCCGTTGGATCTGGCGCGCGCGTCTCGGTGTTCGGGAGGCTTCCGCTCCAGTCGTCTTGCTGGACTGGATGACTCCCGAAGTCGGCTAGTGCCTGGTAGTAGTAGTACTACTTTTTTTTTCAATTGCCCAATGGTTGTACCTTTTTTTTTTTCCAATTGCCTAGTAGCAGTACTGTCTTCGTTTCTTTTTTTTAGTCTGCATATAACTTTTGTTTGAAGTCAAAGTATCTCTATTTTAATTAAATTTAGAAAAAAATATCAACATTACTGGCATGGTGATAAGAGACGACAAAGGCTGTATCATCTTTTCCTCATGCAGGGCACTATTTACGTGTCGAGATGTTCTAGAACTGAGTTATGTGCGTGTATGGAGGGTCTTTCTTTTGCTATCCAGAGGAGTAATTTGCCGATCATGGTTGAGATGGATTCGATAATTGCAGTCAAGTTAAATCAAGCTCAAGAGGTGGATAAATCAGTTTATCACTCAATCATTAAGGAGATTAGGTATCTTATGAGTCTTTGTGAAACTTGTATTACTCATGTAACTCGCAGCCAAAATAAGGTCAGCGACAGTCTAGCTAACTTCACCTGTAGTGAAGGCAGAACTTTAGCCTGGGTTGGCTCAGGTCTAGTAGATACAGTGGAGCTAGCCATTGCTGACTGTTCGAACGTTTTGAGTTAAGTAATATATTATTTCACACACAAAAAAACATTTACAAGGCCAAAGAAATATTTTTAGATTCATTATTGAATATAGTTTCATATTATGTATACTGGTATTGTAGATGTTGATTTTCTTTATACAAATTTAGTCAAAGTTTGTAAAATTTGACTCGACGCAAATCTTTAGTAGTAGTAGTACTTGGTTTTGCTGCCACCGTCAAAGCCTTGGTTTAGAGGAGATGTGGAGTGCATAAACAGGAAAGGGCAAGAAACATAATCATTAATCAACCAGCGTCATTACACTATAAAATAATAAGAATAATAACGAATGGTATATGAAGAGAAGAGTAGACCCGTCTGTAAGAATTTGGTTGGGCCATGGATCCCGCATGACAGTATCATAAACGACATTCTATTAAAATATATTTTTAACATATAAAATTCATTCATAACTTTTTAAAAATGGTCATGAATTTTAGAAAATATTCAGGGATTTAAATGATGTTTTTTAAATTTTAAAAATTCACCAATATGGAGAAATATTAATGATTTTTATAAAATGCTCTCAATTTTTAATAAGACATTTATGATTTTGAAAAATGTTCAAAAATCTAAACTATGTTACTCATAATAAATTTTAAAAACAACCGATGAATTAAAAAGAAATCAAATATAGAATTGAACAGAAAAATAACGGAAATGTTAACGCCCACACGTGTGGGCGTTCACCACCCCGACCACACGCAAGCATCACCGTTGGCAGGTGTGTGCACGAATCTTGGAACAAACCATGTGGTTTTTTGTGCCATGTAGGATGAGGCGCATGTGCGGTGTGCGAGTAGGTTCGCCCGCACGTTGGTTGCCATCCCGCGGTCAGCGGTTGCCATCTGAGTCGTGCGGTGGAACTGCAATGCGCCCGCACGCCATGCTTCGACTGCGGTTGACGTCGCACGCCTCTGCCCCCTCTCCCTCACACTTCCATTTACTCACCCGCACCGCAGTTACCGGCAGAACCCACTCGCATTTCAAACCATCGAAGGAGAAGGCGAGGGGAGAAGGCGACGGCGGAGGCGGAAGAATCGACGGTGTTCGGGACCGTCGGTGGTGCTCGCCGGAACGGAGCGGCTCGCCGGAGCGCCTGCGGGTTGAAGGTACTGCTCGCTGCAACCCTCGCATTCCCTTCCTGCATTTCCTCCCCTTCCTTTCCTGTTCGATTCCTCGATCAAGATTCGTAGAAATTCAGGCGATTCGTCGATGCGTCGGCGTTCCTGCCGGCGCCGAAGTCGTTTGCTAGCCGCTTTTGGTTGCACTGGTCAGTTTCGTCGCGGGCGCGGCGGCGGCATCGTCGGCGTGGTTCTGCCTGTTCGGAGGCACGCACTAGTATTGCCTATGGATTGAGCAGGTGTCTCCCGGGGTTGTTTTTGATGTGCGTTGGTTCATTTTTGTGTTTGCAGTCAGTTCGTGGGAGAATTTTGAGGGTGAATTTGAAGCCGAGGTAGTTGCCATTGAACCCTAGATCTAGTTAGTTTGGTTTTGAAAATGCAGTATGAGGCGAACTTGATAGTTACATTAACTATCATGTTTGTGCGACCACTAACTCCCTGAACAAATTTGATAGTTGCCACAAATGTGTTTCCCCTTGCGGCAACAAATTACTGAAATGATTGTGTTAGTTGCCACATGTAAGCTTTCTCACATGGCAACTATTTTTTATTCAATGACTGTGATAGTTGCCACACACACGCTCTTCCATGTGGCAAATAATTTTGCTGAAGTAATGTGATAGTTGCCACGCACACGCTCTTTCTCCGTGTGGCAACTAAGATTTGCTGAATTCCTGTGTTAGGTGCCACAATCATGCTATTTTCATTGCGGCCAGTGTTTTTCCGAATGATATGTGATAGTAACCACACTGTGATAGTTGCCACAATCGGTAGTCAATGTACATTCACGAGCCAACTGCACTGGATGGCAACCAGTGTGCACATAAAGTGTGCCTGTTGCCACCTGGATAGTATATTCATGTGGCAAATAGAGTGTGAACACACTGTCTGTTGCCATTCTGCATATAAGACAATGTGGCAAATTGGTTGCATAATGTGGCAACCGACTTTGCATATCAAATGTATCAGATGCCATACATATGCTTTGCATGTGGCAAGTTTTTGCTGACCTCTTTGCATTTACATTTCCACCATGACAATTTGGTCTGTTCCCATTTCAGCAGAATGGCTCGTGGTGATCGTCAAAACGACGATGATGATTTCATGGATCCACCACAGCGTAATCGGGCAACTGGGTGAAGAAAAGAGGGTGATGAGGTAAATGTTCATACATCCCCCCTTCCTCCTGCTATATGTTAATGGTTGACACCTTGAGCTTGCAGTCGTCTGACACGAACTAAATTTCTTTACATTGCAAAACGCGGCAACAACTAATCTCTTTTTTGCAAAAACATGGCAAAAACTGATCACTTTATGTCTGTTTTTTGCAGAAGAAGAAACGTATTCGTAACAGAGCCTCCCAAGAACGACTGACTGCGTTGACTGACAAATTCAGCGACGATCAGAAGGGGGCTGCTGCTGAGATGGGTATGCAGTCTATGATGGCTGTCCGGTGCACGAACCTTGTCAACCCTGTATGCGATTGGCTTGGTGAGATCTACGACCCCGCCTCCAGAGAATTCGTGATTCCGGGACGCGGAAGACTACCGCTGAATGAGGAATCTGTATTCTGCATGTTGGGTGTGCCCCGTGGACATATCAAAGTCCCGTACGAGGTCAACAACGAGATCGAGGAAGCGTTGTTCCCCCGTTTGTTTCCTGGGTTGGAATCCATGCCGAACACGACTGCAGTGGCAGATTCGTTGGAGGCCATGACGACGCACGGAGATGTTTTCAAGATGAAGCTACTCATGTACCTCATCTCAGCCGTTTTCGCGCCGACCACTTCTCTTCGCCCAAGCAACAAATGCTTCCCCATCCTGGTGAATGATCTATCTTTACTACATTATTTTTCCTTCAATTTTTTTGCTCCGATGTCATGTGCAAGCTAGTCACTGACAGTTTTTTTTGTTGTTTTTTCCATTGGAATTCTAACGCGGCAACTCCTTGTCCTGAATTTTATGCGGTGCAGGCGAAACTAAAAGATGTGAAGAACATGAACTGGTGTAAGTTCATTGCCGACTTCCTGCATGATGCATTTGCAAGCAAGGTGTACCAGAAGGGTTGTCGACTGCATTTAATGGTATTTTTTTACCGGTCCTTTATGTGAACACTATTTTTTAACACATCTTTATTCATGCATGTCAACATGATCATAACAAGATGGCAACTGCCATGTTGATTATGTGGCAACTGCCATCATGACTATATGGCAACTGCCATCATACTGTGATGGCAACTGCCAACATGACAACATGGCAACTGCCAACATGACAACATGGCAACTGCCATCATACTATGATGGCAACTGCCATCACTCTATGATGGCAACTAGCACATGCAGATGGCATATTCTTCGTAAAATACCATATATTTTATCCTGTTATTTGTCGCAAAATACCATGACCGCAACTGATTTTTCTTTCTTTTTAAAATTGTTGTACATCAGCTCATGTATGTCGACTGCCTTGATCTGTCCACCGTGGACTTCACTGGGACAGGAGGCCCGCCGCCTGCGTACAAGTTTGCTGTTTCTGCGTGGACTATCGATGCTGTCAAGGTTGTGCTTGCTGCAGACAGGGTAACTGATAGCAAATATGGTAAACTGTAGGTTAGTTCTGCTTTTTGTGTGCAACACATGAACTACTAGTCAGTGTTCATCATTCTTTCTCTTATATCGTTTGCTACTTTTTTTTCTTTCTCCCCAGCTGATGGCCAAGCATTCTATAGACTACAGCGTGTTTGGGGGCCTCAAAACTTTGAAAAGTGGATGGACGTGCACTCAGCTCCGTATTGTCCTTCAGAGGTAATCAAAAGATCTACATATATGGTTTGCCGTGGAGTATTTTTCGATGTCGTGCAAGTGATTGCAATACGGGGTTGTCATTGATGCCTCTTTGTTTTGTGTACAGGCGAGGG